TTGGTAAAAAACCTACAGTAAAGGCCAAGCTTTCATAATTAATATTAAGTCTCCATGTCATTATTAGGGAGCTGGTTTTCCCACAAAGGAAAGTCTGGCTTTATTTGAGAAAGCTTGTTACATATGGTACTCAATGTCTGGCATGTAAATCCACATAGGGCCTGCAACTGCTGAAAATAAACATTCTGAACATGGAGTCAGATATGGCTTCTGGGTAACCTTGGACTCTCAAGCAGGCCTGGTGTTTGAAGCATCCAAAGAAGCAGCCCCTTTAATGTAGCCAAACACTCGAGAAGCCTGTGTCAGGAGATTATTTAAAAACAACATGGCCTTACATACTTCCCAGGGCTAGGACAGATAGACAAGGCTCCCAGTCTGTTGGGGACCATGGGCATGAGGCTTGGTGTGTGTCCACCAGAGCTGGGGTAGAGCCAGCCGCCAGCAATATGTGGTAAGTGGAGTTGTGGTGAAGTTGGTGTGAGAATTTAAAGTTTTACTCATGTAGTCTAAAAAATACTGCAGATGCATACACACATAAACACATACATGATCACACACATACACACACACACACACACACACACACAGATACACACACACACAGAGTCAGGTCAAAACTGAGAAAAACTCTGAACAGATAAGTTGTATTTAAAAATGTGTGTAGTTGCTAAAGAAAGAAAAGAAACAGGGTGTATACAGTCATAAAATGAATAGTTTTTAAATAAGTAAATAAAGTCTTTAAAGAGAGAGTAAAGTAAATAATTAATTAAAAAATAAGCAAGGATGGGAAATACATAAGGTTCCTAGATCCTGTAGGTTGCTTCGGTAACTTCAAAATTTTGAATTCTATTGCTTCTCAGCCATTTGGCTAAAATCAAGAGTAAATTTTTGAATGCTAATGAGCAAAGGAAAATGTTTCTGAGAGACATTTGATTGTAGAAAACATGTTATATTGAAGCAACCTATATATCCCCTTGTTTTCATGACAAAGGGTGAACTCACCAGGATAAGGCAGGAGAGCTTACTCTGGTGGTTAGGACAAAGAAGAGCTGGTGGACTGACCAACCCTGCAACTCCCCAGGCCCAGAACTAAGGTAATATGTTGGCCCAACCCAATGTCCATCACATCTGTGATCTGCTGGAGGATGTGAAGCGACTGATACTTGCAGACCCAAAGCTTCAGGATTTCCATAATCCAAGACAACAACAGAATAACTTACAGGAATTCCAGTGAGGGCCCAGCATTGATAGTGTAGTAGAAATCAGAGCCCTTGAACCAGACCAATGAACATTTGCAAATAAAGATATATGGATGGAAGTGTTTACTGTGTTACTCAATGTGTCACACTACAGCTTCCATGATTAGATTCAATTTCTCTCTCTCTGTCTCTCTCTCTGTCTCTCTCTGTCCCTCTCTCTCTCTTTTCTTATTTTCTTATTTTTTTATTTTATTGGGGGAGTTGCAAAGGCAGAGGGTGGATGCAAGGGATTGCAAAATGAACAGGATGGAGATGCATGATGTGAAAGACACAAAGGATAAATGAAAAGAAGAAATACATTAAAAAATAATGTCTTAACTTCAGAATGGAAGTCAGAAAACATGCTGCTTTGGGGGAGAGGTTTTACTTTTGTTTCCACAGGAAACAAAAAGCTACAGGTTTATTCAAAATTAATAAAAATCTAATTTGGTTGTGGGAGATCTCTTGAAAATCTCAGCTACAAACATGAAGGAAAAGAACAAGAAAAAGTACAAGATAGGTGACATATAAGCTGATCCCTTGATGTGGGACCATCTCTGAGACTGGATGAGACATGGGTGAATTTTGTTGTTTACAGAATCCTCATAAATTATTATTACATGTCATCCTTTCATCAGACATCTCCAGAGATTTATATTACAGTTTGGTTATGCATTTCAAACAGAGTTATAAAGTGACAGATGCCTTTTACCTGCTCAAACATAAAACTAAAATAATCATCTTTAGCTAATTTGTGAACACCTCAATTCCATACTTGTATTAATGTAAAAGTTTGTATTTTCCAGAAAAAAAAAAGACCAAACACCAATGAAGGTAAGTAGCTCAGGTGATCCAATCTCTCAAAATGACTCTGTTGCAGGTTTTTCAAAATTCTACATTCAAACAACTGCAAAGCTGCTAACAGAGATGGTCCAGCCTCATAGACTACTCCAGCCAGAACTTCAGATAAGATTTACACTTTCCCATCACACAGAGACTAAAGTGAAAAAAAAATACAGCTAGGTCTCCCAGGACTTGACCATTAGTGTAATCTTCTCTGGGCCTCCTAAAGGTGCTGTCACTCCCACAGAACAGGAAGCAGTCTAGAAAACATGGTGTCCACATTCCTCAGAAGTGAGGTGGAAGCTTTTGGGCCATTCAATAAATTATGGATGTTTGTCATTGTTTAGGATGGAGGTTGGTGGCAAATTGTTATTGGTCATGATGGGGAAAAATTAAGCAAATGAGGTTAGATTCAAGAAACTTGTTCTGAAATTTTAAAAAACGGTGGGATATAAAAATGATAGGCTAAAATGGTAGATTATTGAATCTATTTTTAAACTAAAAAGCAACTACTGATCTCAAATATTTAAAATTTATAGAGAATTTTGTATATTGATCCAAATTAAGGCATTTTTTTCTTCTCTTGCTTAAGGTATTGTACCTATGCATGTAATGTCAACTTCTAGTTCTTAAAGGCTATTTAAGTTTAAAAATGTTTAAGATAAATAAGGAATGTAGGTTAATAGTTAGTCATTTGTAACAATCAGACTTATAGCCATGGTAGGTATGTTTTCGGATCAAACAGAGATGTATTTTTAAATAGAGTCTTCAAACACATCAGACACCTATAGAATATGAGATTTAAAATGTTTTCATGACAGTGAGACACATCTGCTCCTGGCAGCACAAATCTACTTCAAAAAAGGATGATGAGCATCAAAGATACTTAATATACAGTTTGCTTTCTTTGTGACAAAGTTAGCCACTGGGCAAAGAAACTGTCCCTGTCTCAACTGCTGACAGTATGCTGTACAAATTGGACACAAAACAACATTATCAAAGGTCACTATCAATCATTGCCAAACAAGGTAGGACAGTGCTTCAAAAATTCTTGCTTAACAGAAAAGTTTGTCTGTCAGATATTCTAGGCCTATAAGTTGAAGATGGATGCCCCCAAGTTGCAAAGAAAACTTGGGTGACTGTCCAAGGAGCCAAATGTCTCTATCATTTCTATAGTTTTGGAAGTTGTTTGCTATGAACTTCCTACTTACTCAGGTAATATTATATCCTTCTTCACTCTTTGGTGGGGTTGAAAACTAGATAGTTACATCATTTTATTACTAATTTTTAAAAAGAAACTCACAAAAGAGATGTATTGTTTATAAAGGTTGAGGGACATAAAAGCTTAAGTTGTTTTATCTAGAAAATGTTTTAAGATCTAAAATGTTAGTTTATGTTGGCAACACAACTTTTGATAAAATGTGGTTTAGGGATAAAACTTTGAATTCTTCAAGATATGATAGATAATAAAATATCTTCTCTAAATTTTCCAAATACTGAAGTGCTAGACACTGTGAAAATAATTCTTACCAGACAATTGTCCTTATTTTATATAGCTTTTATTGTGTTGGAGTTAAAACCTTTCCTTTTTATTTAGACAAAAGGGAGAAATGTTGTGGGATAATCTTTTCATACACTGTGAAGATGTATCTTTGCCACGGCACCTTCTAACTGGTTTAATAAAGGGCTGAACAGACAGTAGTTAGGTAGGAGAATCTAAGCAGAATTTCCTGGAAGAGAGAGGAAGAGGAGAAGGAATCTAGGTGCACAGATTAGGCCATCGAGATGTGCAGCAAGTCAGACATTGTACAGAGGAGAGATAACCACACCAAATGGAAAAATGTATATTAATAAAATCTGAAGTTTTAAGCTTATAAGAGCTAGTTGGAGAAAATCCTAAGCTAAAGGCCGAGTTTTCATATTTAATCTTAAATCTCCATGTAGTTATTGGGGAGCTGGTGGTCCCACAAAGGAAAGTGTGACTACATTTGGGAAAGCTTGCTACACTGTCCCATTTAGGGCATGTGGGAAAATACCACTTCACTCAAGGGGCTGAAGGAGACTAGAGGGAAAACAGAGGCCAATTTGTGACTTTTCTCAGGATCATCGAGGCAGGACTCCACAAACAGCTTACTGGTTAGGTTGAAGAATTTCCCCCAACCTTGGATGGATGGATTGCTCCTGTGTATCTGAATCATGGTACTAGCTAGTCATTAATTTAAAGTATGAAAGTTACATAAAGGCAGCATCTAGTTAGCTTATGGAACATGTTTTCCAAGTAAGTCATTTACTGTCCTCAGGATATAGCTATCTCTAGGCAGATCAATCACCCCTAGACAACAAGGCCCCAATAGTTAATATGATAAACCAACATATAGAAAAAGTATGAAGAATCAATAATTCACCATATTCTATGGCACAATAGATGATATATTAACCTTGGCCCTAAACCCATTAATTTTTTTTATAAATTTTAAAAATACTTTTGGAGAGTAACACTTTTAGTTTCTTTCATTTTGGGCCAAGTTCACAATTATTTCTACCACCCTTTATAAACTTGCTATTTGAAACATCCTACACAGACTCCTATTTCAGATAAAAGCACACATTTGCTTATAAACACCTCCTGTTCTACCTAATTTCTATATGTGTCTATCAGAGACACCTTTCTTGCCTAGAAAAGACAATATATTGTTAACATTTTTGTTCAACATGTGTTAATTGTCTACTGATAAAATTGGTGTAGGGAATGCCTTCTTCACTGGAAATTCAGGACCTCAATATTTGCGTGAACTGAAGTCCCTTCAGAACTGCTATTTGCTGAAAGGAGCTCCTTGGCTCACTCCTGTTCCCCCTCCTTGTTTTCTTTTCCTTTCTGCTTTTCTGCCCTTTGATTATATTTCTCTTTGTTTCTTTAAGACTTCCCATGAAGCAAACGTCTACTGCAGCTCTGTACCAACTGGAGACCAGTCTCTATCCTATATACACTGTCTCCCCAGAAGAAATTCTAGAGACTTGTCTGTGGAACATATAACCAAGAACAGAATGGGCCAGCCTGAGGTGTGTATACTGAATTATTGTCTTGTTTCCTACAGCTGTGCAGATGATGAGCGTTACTCATGGGCAGTGTATTTTCATTAGAAATATTAATTAGAAACTTTGAGGATGGACTGACATGTCATAATCCACATGCTCAGCAGATTGATAGAAACAAATCTTTCTTGAGGACTTTACAGGCAACCCCATAGGTCTCAACTTTTTTCACTCCAAATTTCCCACTAGGGCTTCTGCAGTCCTGTTAATCTAGACTCAGCTTTCATCTTTTGTTTTACTCTTAGCACTAAGCTCGTCAATCTGGCAAGTCTTTAAAATGTATTGTTCTAAATTTTTATTCAAGATGAAATGTTTTTAAGTGCATTGGGCAAGACAATGTTAGGTGTTCAAGAGCCTGTGCATGTATTCTCAGAAGGGTTGTTTCCTTCCTTCCTAAGGAACAGATCTGGAGCCCCTTAAACTAATGAAAGTACCATCTTGTCTTATCCTAGGCCAGCTCTGCAGGTACAATCTGTGACACCTACCTCAGTGATTTCTGCTTCCTCCTTAGGCTTTTACTGGTCTTGTCTCAGAGCTCTGCTCACATTTTTGTCCTTTGTCGTGTTAGGAAATTGTTCAAAGGCCAAGTATTAGGACAAGAGAAGATGCTTTCCTCCTCACTTTGGTCAGAAAAGAACTCAAGTCATACCTACGGAGCTCCAGTCTGTGGGACAAACTTCTGAAAGAGTTGAAGACACTGGATCCCATCTCTTCAGGGTTTCTCCTCCAGTCACAGCTGAGCCGCCTTTTCGTAAGGCTTGAAGTCCCTCTACAGTTGCCAACAGTCAAGCTACTCTGTCAAAGATTTTCTAGAAAAGATTCTCCCGAAATGGTACGGCTATCATGTGATCTGAGTAGTGTGTTCCTTTTATGTCTCTGCCTTTAACCCAACAGGGTAATAAAATAAGAAGGCAGTTTCATCTTTGACCATAGTCTTTTATATGGACTTTTAAACTTATTCATATTCATGAATGGGAGTCTTCATTGGAAAACACCGGAATAAAAAATAAAGTTAGAGATCTCAGTTATGTTCAATTTCTCTTTAAAGAGCTCTTGTTTCAACTTTCACCATCTGTTCTAAACATATGAAGCCTGTACTGATTCAAAACAATGGATCCGGTGGTGAGCTGACTTGGTCTGCAAGCCTCAAGGTAAAAGTAGAGGGCTTGACCAAGACTTCTTTAGTATTGTAATAAATATATTGAATAAGTATCATTGACCACAGGGTCTTAGACTAGACCTCAAAAATTTGGTGCTGACGCAAATGCCAGCAACTGCAACTCTGTGACACATGACAGTTCTACTCAATGTCCCTGGTACCTCAGTGATCTTGTCTAAAAAAATCAGGTCTCATGGGTATCATATCATGATTTAATGATATGACAAATGAAAAACACTGATGTTGTATCTAGTGCTTAGATGCTGAAATAAATTTCTTTCCTCTCAGCTGTTGTAATTGAACTTTTTCTATCCTTACAAGAATTGTTTAGTGGTATGCTGACAATACATGACACAAACCACATGGAACTTGAGTTTAATACAACTTTATGGCTTAAGACTTACCTCATATGAGACTTTCCACAACTCTCTCTTTAGTTGTTCCTCTTTTCTCTGGAGGTTCTAATAGCCACAGTCTCTGGGTGGCCTCTGTCTTAGGAGTGGAAAACAGTGGCCATCCTTCAATCCCTTACTGTATTGGAAAGCAATCTTGACTTTTTATCACCTAGCTCAATAAATTATTGTCTCTAGAATATATGAATACATGTAAACTTATAAGCACATATTATATACAATAACAATTCCTGTGATGTGAGAGGGGAAAAGAGGCTAAACACTGTTATTCAGCAATAACAACCCCAAGTCCTCAGTGGTTTAAAACAACAAATGCTATTGGTTGATGTTTTTAAACATGGTCTGATGTAACCCAAGCTGGCATCTGAAGGCACCCGTGTAACTGAAAATGCCCTGATCCTCCTACCTCCACCTTATAAGAGCTATGATTATAGGCATTTGTCACCATTCCTGGTTTTATTTGATGCAGGAACTATGTTTCATTAGGCACTTTATCAATGGAGGTACATTGCCAAGTCCTGATAGTTGTTAGTTTTTAAATGCACATTACAATAGTAGGCACTAATACTGTTTGAGCTGCTGGACCCATCCTGATGAAACAGTTACTTCGGAATACTTGATCCTGAAAGGCAAAAGTGAGACTTCCAAGGAAGTCTTTTATGTCCCTCAACCTTTATAAACAATACATCTCTTTTGTGAGTTTCTTTTTAAAAATTAGTAATAAAATGATGTAACTATCTAGTTTTCAACCCCACCAAAGAGTGAAGAAGGATATAATATTACCTGAGTAAGTAGGAAGTTTATTAAACCTAAAATGGTTCTCTTTATTTCTTTTCATATAGTGCCTTAGCCAGAACTAGCTGCAAAGCTCTCCCATGGTTCTGTAAACTTCATCACCCCTGCCAATTTCTTGCCAAAGAAATATTTTTGTTACCTCAGATATACAGAGAAATAAAATAGGTATATAAATCAAACATTTACTGATTATGGATCACAAAGAACTTTCAAAAATAATTTCATGGCATATATAAAATTTCAATATTTATAAAAGATGAAAGCAAGCTTCTATACTAATGAGATAAATGTGTCTATTTACTTAATTATTCCTTTTTAGATTTATTTATTTATTTATTTTATGTGTGTACATATTTTGCCTGAATGCATGTATGTATGCCATGCCTGGTGTCCATAGAGGTCAAAAGAAAACATCCGATACCATAAAATTGGAGGTCCAGATGGCTGTGAACCAGCATGTGGTTACTGAGAACCAAATTCAAGTCTTCTGTAAGATTAACAAGTCCTATTAGCCACTGAATCATCTCTTCAACCCCTTATTTATTTTTTTAAATTAAAATATAATTACATCACTTCTTCCTCTTTTTACTCCCCTCCAATGTCCACTCAAACTGATTGCCTCTTTTTCTTTTATTATGATTATTATTGCATATATAAATATGCATAAATACAACTTCTAAACCAGGATTTGTTGCTTGTGTCTATATGATTAATTTCAGGGTTGACCATTTTGCATTAGATAACCAATTAGACATCTCATTGCTAGGAGAGAGTAATTCTTCCTCTCTCTTTTTTTTTTAAGTAAATTTTATTAAATTACAAAAGTTCCCATCAATTCTTCCTCTCTTAACAGTCACTAACTACCTGTAGCTCTTTGTCTAGGTGTGGGATCCTGTGAGATTCCCCTATTCTGTGTTAACATGTATATTGGTATTGTCATTGATCAGGTATTATTTAGGTAGCCATATTATTTAATACTCACGAATGAAGTTTTCCCGTCATTTCTAGGAGAAAGCAATCTCACAGCATACTTCATAATTCTCTCACTCTTAAAATCTTTCTGCCCCCTCTTTGATGATGTTCCCTGAGCCTTATATGAGTTGTGTTGTAGGTACATCCATGGGGACTGGCTTCTCCATTATCAATTGATCTCTGCATTATGGTTACTAATAGTTTTCTCTGATGGTCTCCACCTATTGCCAAGAGAATTTTCTTTGATATGGAAGGAGAGCTACATTTATCTGTGATTATAGGGTGTGGTTTGTAATACATTTAGGAATTATTCTAGTCTATTAACTGATAGCTCTACTGTTCTAAGATCCATAACCTAACTAGTCTTGAGTAGCTAGATTTCTCGTACCAGGTGTGATTTCCTTTCTGTTCAGTAGGCCTTAAGTCCAATTAAATAGCTGTTAGTTATCATTAAGATATGAATGTCGCCATTGCATTTTGCAGAACATCTTGCCATTCTGGTCATTCCAGGTATGATACATATATATCCTAGCTGCATAAAAGTATTGATTGCTTCCCTCCCTTGATGACTGGCTTGGCACTTTCTTATACTGTAAAAGCTAGACTGCAGGAAGAAGCTTTTTGTTTAGATCCAACACATATTTCCCAAGTCCTATGTTTGCAGTGTGCAGTCTTCAGGAATAGGGACTTATTTTCAACCTGTGAGAAGCAACTAAAGACAAGAGCAATAGGCTATACTGTTCAGGGAGTCACACGGACTATCCAGACCTACAAACTCAAATTGAGGTTTTGCATGCCTGATTCTGTGGTTTAGCTTTCAATAGTCTTCGGCTCTCATGAAAACACTATCAGACCAAGTGGCATAACTTCATTTAAGATGTATAGCACATGTATATTTTCATGTATTAGTTATAATTTTAGGTAAAGATAAAATAATACCTTTCCTTAGGCTTTGTCAAGCTTCCTTATTTGCAAATTTATTTGCTATTTATTTGTTTATATGTTATTTATGTAGAATATATATACATATATATATATAATTTATAAGGAACTAAGTATTGGGGTGGGGAAATGGCTCAGGAAGCAAAGCACTTGCCACACAAGAAAGGAAGACCTGAAGAATGAGAGTTCAGAAATCTAGCATCCACATTCATTTTATAGAGAAGTGGCATCCCACCTCTAATCCTAGCCAATGGGAGAGGAGGACAGGATTCCTGGAGCAAACCAGTTAGCTGGACTAACCAAATCAGCAAGCTCTGGGTTCAAGTGAGAGAATCTGCCTTACTACATAAGGCAAAGCAGAACAAAGGGAGACACCCAATATCAACCTCAGCCTTCCACAAGTAGACACACATGCCCATATAAACATGTGTATATATGTGGATACCACGACATTCATATACACAACCAAAGAATTCAGTCTTGGTTACTGCAGGAGGTAAAGCATCTTCAACATTTTTCAGATGTTGTTTGATTGAAATTAAACAATACTTTGATATTTATAGTCACCAATACTAAGAACACCTCATCACAAAAAAAAAAATATGTGCTTCACAATTGCAGAAGCCTGTTTCAAGCTATTTCTGAAGTTGAAAATTCTATCCTAATCCCAAGGCAAACTTCACTGAATCCATTTTCATGAAACTCAAGTTAGGAATTCAAACATCAACTTTGAAAACCACACATTCTAACAAAATATAATCCAAAAATACACTAATTTGATATATTCTGAGAAATGATTGTATAAAAATATCAAAGTCTCTGTTTTCTGTAACTAAGTCCACTATTTCTGTATGAGCAGAAAACTCTACATACAGTCAGAACCCTGCAGTTCAGAACACACAGCAGTCTAGAGTGCAAGGCCAAGGTTGCAGACAGGGCTCATTGGTGTTGTATATGATGCAAGTGCACCGTTAATGCATATGTTGTGTGCTCTGACCAAGGTCGCAGTGAAGTAAACATACATGAGAATATCCAAAAACGCCTTGCAAGTTGGGTTTTGAGTGAATATTATTGCACATTCAAAAACTTATAGTGTGTTATAAGGTTGCTGCCCAGGATTTTAGTAGTTGGGCTGTACCCAACCACCATGTAACAATGAGGATGCACTGTTTTGCTATTTGTCCAGATAAGACCATCTAACCCAAGCCACTAATAACTATGGGCCTGAATTGTTTACATAGGACTTTTTAAAAATATCAGTGGCAAACATTTTCCAAGTACATTGACTCTCTTTCCCTTAAATGCAAATTAAGTAAAGATGTTCTATCTGATATTTGATTTTCAGGTGAATTATAGAGAGCTACTCTGGTTTTTAAAAGGGGCAAGTTCAGAACATTTGCAGAAAAATGGAACTGCTGTATACCCTGACCCAAGGAAAACTCCAAATCAAAGCAAACACAGACAAAGGTATTCTCTTCCCTTGTGTAATATTGTTCCTCCATATCTCAGGCCATACTGCTATAGTAAATTGAAGTATTGTTGCTAGTTAAATTTGAAAGTTCAAAGTTTATGATGAAAGATGCTTAGGTTTTGGTTTTTAGATGTCGCTTCCTTTCTTGTCCTTACACAGTAGAAAAAAGTAGAAAGAAACCCTGTAACCTCTCCTATAACAGCATTAATCCCTTTCCTGAGGGCTCCAGCCTCATGAGCAAAGGCTCCAGAGTTTGAATTTGTGAACCTAACATTTAATCCATTGCCCTAGACTTCTGAATGGAGCTTTAAGGATAGGAATGACATATTCACTTTAGTAACCCAGTTCACAAATGCTTGACTTGTATGTTCAGTCTCTCCCTCTTTCTCTCTCTCTCTCTCTCTCTCTCTCTCTCTCTCTCTCTCTCTCTCTTTCTCTCCTCCTTTCTCCATCGCTCCCCTTATCTCCTCACTCTCATTTCTCTCCCTCTCAGCATAGAAAGTTATTTGACTTAACTTTATTTACTTCTTAATATCAAAATATCTACCTGCTTGTTTATGTTTGAGAAAGAAAAAATAATCTCATTACAAAATAAGAAAGACTCATGTAGGGTATAGAACTCACCTATAAAGTATGAGGCTAGAAGTAGGTTTTATTAACGAAGTACTAGATTATTGGTATGGCAAAGGGTTTCAAATATAAAAATCAGTAATTTTCTGTTTAGTTGCAAGCAAAAGAAATGACAGAACTTTTTTTTAATCAAAGTGTATGTGAGAGATATATTAGACAGGAAGCAGAATGAAGTGTGAAATGTTTGTGTTTCCTAAGAATGGGGAGGGCGTTCAGTTGTCAGGAACATGGGCTTCTTTGCCAAAAACCTGGTTTTAACTTCTTTACTATAAAATAACTATGTGACTGTAGAATTTACCCACCTCTGCTGGGCTTTCAGTGTTCAGTGGGAAACAGAGACTCAAATAAATTTTTCTTTCATTGATTTTTGACTGGTAATAAAGCCAAGATGAGTAAATATCATAAATTTTACCTTTTATGAATATCATTTACCTTCAATTTAAAAGTGTCTGTATATGTGCTTGTGTTTGTGTGCATGTGTGTGTTCATGAGTGTGTGCATGTACATATTTATTCTTGTGTGAATATAGGCCATAAAAGTAAAAGGACACCATGAAAGAGGAGAAAGAGCTAAACGGGTAGGGAAAAAAGAACAATGAAATCCATGAGTCCTGAAGGCAGATTTTAGGTGGGCGGAGGACATTCTTGGCAAAGCAAGGGAACCAGTCAGAGGTATGCAGAGATGGGACATAGGTAACAGGATAGTTGAGAACTAAGTATAATGAGATGGGTTGCAAAACTGTCATAATGAAAAGCTTTGTGTTCCGTTCTACCACAGAAAGTTAATTTTAAAAGAAAGTAACAGAGGCAGGAGGATAACTCTGAATTCCACATCAGATTTTTCTACACAGTAAGTTGAAGACAGGGAGAGGTATGAAGTGAAATTCTGTTATAAAACAACTAAAAGTAAAATAAAATAACATAAAATAAATGGATAAGCACAAAGTTGTTTAGAATAGTACCCGATACATGGTTTTCATTATTATTATTATTATTATTTCTCCTTTCAGATAGAAATAAGGCTACTTCATAATTAGAAGCTGTAGCACTGGGGATGAATGTCCCTGGACCAGGCAGTGGAGTTGATTCTGTTCTAGAAATGTTGGAAAATCCCACTGGAGTTGTTACATGTACCAGGAAAATTACAGTTTACCCTTTGAGTTCTTAGTCTCATTAATAAAACAATTTATGAAGAAACTCAGGAGAAAGCTCAAAGACAATTTTATTAGAAATAAAACCCCAAGGCAAACAAGATGTAAACCTAGGCAGCTGCCCCACCAGACAACAAAGATGAAGAAGAGGAGGAGAGGAGTCATGACACAGTGACACCTGAACTGAGCCAGCAAAGAGGTCAGACATATGACAGGCAGGCAGCCACATAACTGGGAGGTGAGCTTTGGGGAAAATGGAACCCCAAAGGGTTACAAAATTCATGCTTAGGAAATAAGTAGAAAGAAGAAAGTCAAGTTATGCCCTCCCGAATAACTCAGAATTATGGAAAGACTTACAGAAGCTAATATGGCTTTGTCTCAGTAACTGACTGCACAGGGAGTGAAAAAGCACATTGTCTCATTAAGGAGATACTTTTTTCCATCTCTTTAGTATGGCTTATTGTGAACTTGACTTTTTTAGAGGTGGTCCCTTGGCCAGGTGATTGACCTGCCCAACTGGATTAACTCTGAAGGGAGAAACCATGGTATGTCTCTCTATCCACAGGTAGATCCCATTCTTTGCTACAGTGATACTTCCTATAGTTCACCCCTTAAGTGTGATTCATAAATTTTACAAATTTCTTTGCCAAGTCCACTCTGCTGGAAATAGCAAATCCCCAAATTCAACAGGCTTATTCTCTTTCTGACGGGATCATAATCTACAGAAAATTACATTAGTACGTGGGTACTGCAGCTAAGGGTGGCTCAAGAAACGGCTATGCTACTAGGAGCCATAGGAAATGTAAGTAAGCAGCAGCCAGCCTTCATGTACTATAGACTGTGAAATCATGGTCCTGGGAGTTTACTGGCCATCCATTTAGTGTCCGGTTACTGTTACCATTCATCTATTATTTAAGGAAGAAATAGTCAGGCATGACTGTCTTAATAATTATACATTTGCATGTAAGACTATAAGTAAATCTTATTCCCAAAACACTAGGTCTTTCCCAAACAAAGAGGAAGGTTAGAATCCTGGCAATACATCTGCCCAATAGAGGGTTTCCTGTGTAAATCACCCATTACAATAAGGCAGCATCTGTTTGGCTTTGCTTGTGGCAATCAGTAGTTTGGACAGCTATTAGTAATTAGCTGAATTTAAAAGCAGAATGATTAAGTAGGTTAAGAATATCATTTACTATTTGTTGCAATTTTCCTCTCAAATGAGAAAAGAGAGCTGGAAAAGAAGATTAGGTGCCTAGGTCTATGTAGTAGCCCAGCTGGTTTGTTCTCCCTGAGAAGAAATTGTCGAGCTCATTTCTGTGAAAAAGAAATGTGTTAATCTATGAACACTGCACATACAGCCGATGTCCATGTTACTAACCTTTATGTGGATCCCAGGGAATAGCTGAACCAAGAAACACAACTTGAAAACACAGAGACTTTTAGCAAGCCAACTTTTTTTTTTTTTACAGTCTTCGATTTGCCTCGCTAAGCAGCACACCCCCTCAAGGTTCTGGCTTACTGTCTGATGTGAACAAGAGCTTGCTGGAGATTTTGAAGATGGCACTAAGAACATGCCAAGGCAGAATCAACATAGACAACCTCAACCTGAGCTTTCGCAAAGAAGATCAGTCATTCTCTGGCTGCCTTCCCCTGCCCAAGGTAACCAAAATTAGATTTTAGATTTGGCAAGAGCCAACAGAAGTACTACAAATATTGAGTTTATATTAACAATAAGGTACAGCTATGATTTGTATTCTCCCCGTGAATTACGTCACACCACTGTTTTGTTGTGTGTGTGCTTGAGAAGAGAAAAACAAAATAGAGAAGAGATTCTTGAAATGTGCAGAATTGGTCCAGTAATTACGTAAATGGTGTATATTTAATGTTAATAATAGAAAATGTGATAATATCCAAATAATACTTCACAATGGAAGCAAGTACTTTTCAAGGCCAAACTCATTTCTCACATCCTCTCACAGCTTCTACAGGGGCCAGCATGTGGCATCTCATGCCTTGGGAACACCATATTTTAGGTTTGATGTAATTTATGGTGCACAGAGCTCAGCATGCTGATTTGAGACAGTAATTACCAGTGCAGATGTGTTTCATGGAAGAGGACCCAGAACTGTATTAATTCATGAATCTTCCGTAGCCAAATAAACTGATCTCTCAAAGCCACGTTGGATAGAGGTGGGGTGGTGATTGCTGCTATTACTATAACTGCACTGATAAGACCTCAGCTTCACACTGCTTAATTCCTACTAGGTGCTAATCACTGTGCTAAGTGCTTAACTGACATGATCTCATGTAACATCAACCAAGTTAACTCCTTACACAATATCATGAAATACAGGGAGGTGTCGTTACTGGCATTATCACTTCATCAGTGAAATAAATTCTGAATTTTGAAAAAGACAATTGAACTAATTCCTGGGTCACAAGTAACAAGGAAGCAAAGTCAAGATCCGAAGCTAATCCAAGCTAATCCAAAGCTAATCTAATCCAAGATTAGAAAAGGTTGGAAACTGGTGAGCAAAGTGAATTTAACAAATAGTTGATATCCAGAAGATTTTCCTGAGAACAATATTCAAAAGATAAAAATTGGAACATTAGGGAAGGCTGGAAATTATAGGTAGAAAGGCTCTATCAAACACATTGCCACATATCCTTCATTTTGGGCATGCAGGGGTTAAAAGTGAGGGAGTCAAAGTAGTTTCTGATATTTACGAAGAAAGCAAAGATACAACACGGTGCAGGCGGGTTTTTATTTCCAAACAAAAGCTACCATTCTCTGAGACTGCATTTGGCATGCAAAGCAAGGGTTATGCTAATGTCTGTATGTGCATGTACCTGTGTATATGCGTACTGTACATACAAACATGTTTCAGTAGAAAGAGAATAATGCAGGGCAGTCTGAACTTCATGAGTTGCCTGTTTTGTATTCATGAAAAGACTAAGAATAAACTAAGAAGCAACAGTTCTTTATTCGATTGAAAACCACGTAATGCCACCAGTGAAGCCTTGTGTTCTCAGACATTATGCATAGACTATAACACAAATAACTTGAAAATTAAAACACATTCACTTAATCTATTTTGGTCTCAAATTTTCACCTGGAAAACGTAGGTTCCAAATAACATCTCCTTTGACTATTGTGGAGATTAAATGAGACTAAATATGGAAAAGTATTTGTGTATAACCTCATACACAAGGCTTTAAATAAATTCTATAACACACACACACACACACACACACACACACACACACACACATACATCAGTTTTCTGAGGTTTTGGTCCTGTGGTCAGATGATACAACATTAAACCTTGGCTATCAACCTGTCTTTAAATGTTCTCGTCTACAGCTGGCCCTGAAAGCTTAACTTTGTGGTTCAAATCCAAGGAAATGGGGTGTATTTTCCTTAAAGCTGGTCTGTCTTTCATGAGCCATCTGGCATCTCTTAAGACATCTGGAACTCACTCAAAGACTAATACAGTTCTGGGAGGCATGTTAAATAGAATTTGGTTTCCTCAGAATGTGAAACAAATTTAGGCCCAAGGGATATTTGATACAGGAAGCAACAGGGTGCAGCCACACCACAACTTCCTTTCTCCAGGACCCCTTTTTGAAAGCAGAATGTAAAGACTGTGCTTGTACTGGAGGCATTGAAGCTTTGGAACTGTAAGTCTAAACTTTCTTAAAGTGCGAAGATAGAACTTTCCTAAGTAGTCCATGACAGCTATACACTACCCCTTTCCAGAAGAACAAACAAAAATAAGGATAAAGTGGGAATAAAGTACCCAAAGTCATCTCAGTTCAAAGTGTTTGCAGACCGCTTGTAGCTCCCAAGAAATCTAAACATTGTCAAAAACAATTTACAAATCTTGTCACCCACATCAATTGAATTTTGATCAGTGACAAAAAAAAAAACCACCATAGAAACAAATTTGGTATCAGTCATCTTTGCCTATAGTCTCCTTCATCTTGCTCTCTAGCACATCTTCAGTATAATGATGATTTGACAAGATTGCAAAGGCCATGTGAATCCACTTGTATTTCTTTATTAACTGTTCCACTGTCTTAACTACTCTTCTTGTTGCTGTAAAAAATACCTAGCAGAATCAAGAAAGGAAGGGCTTATTTTGGCTCACAGTTAGAGGGTACAGACCACCGTGGCAGGAAAGTTAAAGCAATAAGAGCTGGTTACATTGCATCAAGGTCAAGAAGTAAAGAATCATGATGAATGGTTTTTGGCAGCTCACTTTCCTCTTTAAGAGTCAAGGATCTCACTCAGGGAATTGTTCTACCCACAATGAGGAGGTCTTCCCACCTAATTTAAGAGTTGTCCCCTGAGCCCCATCCCTCAGGTTACTCTAAATCTCATCTTGCTGACAGTTGAGATTAGCTATCACACCTGTATGTTGGGGACTGTGAACTCCCAACTCCCACACCCTGAATTTCCTGTGACCCCTGCCTGCAGGAGTAAACAACTTGCTTTCCTATGCTTGCAGCTGCTCTGAGCAAACAACTTATTTTGCATCTGCTCTGAGCATGAGACCCTCAGGGGTTTCTGATGGGAGGGGGTGGTTTCTGGTGGGCTTGCAGCTGAGAGTTAGGGCATGGCCATTAGTCAAGGAGACCCTATATAAGCTGCCCTGGAACATAATAAAGAGGAACATTCTTGGGGCATTCTTAGTGTTACCCATGTCTCTCTATGTATGTGTGTGTGTGTGTGTTTCAATCTCCAGCCCCTTGCCTGACTCGCAAACCTTACCATAGCATGTGGCACATAGAGCATGCATTGCGCTACACCTGTCCATTTCTTGAGCAAGAAATACATTCACCAGGAATGTACAGACTTGAGCATGCAGTCTCAGTTTTACACGTTTGGAGAACTTCTAAAATTCCCCTTTGACTGTGGGCTAGCATGTCAGATTCCCTAGCCACCCTCAGTCATCCTTTTCATATTTCATTGTTTCTATATTTCTGTCTTAAAACAGTCAAAATATTTCAACTACTTCTGGATTGTTCTCTGCCTTCAATGCAATGATTATATTTCTGATCAATATTATTTAATTGACTTTCACTTTTGGATGCATTAATTACTGTGTGTGCTAGGCACTAGTGACAATAATTTGAAATTTTTTTGTTCACCAAGAAGTTAAAAAAAGGCAAATGCCATCAAAATTCTGTGACAAAGTTAGGGATAGCCATTACCTTGAACATAGAACTAGACACCTGTGTAGCTTATCTGAAAGTGGTCCAGAGAGCTTCTTGTCAACATATAGGTTTGACCAACAACAAAAAAGAGAAGATAAAATGATGAACAGTGTGAATTATCTCCTGAATATGGACTTGGGGAGACCATGGCTAGTTAAAGGAATAGCTTCAAGTCAACTGTGGAATAAAAAGTATGAGCCAATGTATGAAGGGTCTTTCCAAGGAGTTTATATTTTATCCTATAAAACCCTTGCAACCACCAAAGAATTTTAAATGTTCAAATGACATGATCATATTTGAACATTTAAAGGAATATTTTAATATAATTTTTCAAACAAGCAAAACTGAAAGGAAAGAGAGCCTTATAGGAAGCTGTTCCAGTAAAGCAGAAAGCAATCATGATGCTTCAAGTAAGGCACTAACAGGAAGGATGGAGACAGTAGGAAAGAGAAAGCAGGTTTGGGTGTGTCATTGAATGTGGGACAAAACTAACTCCAATTCATCAACTTGTTCAATGATAAAGCTATTCACTAAAATAAGAAACTAAACAGGAGTAATGTGAAGGAGTAGAGTATGGGCTGATGGACCGAATTTTGAACTTGTTGGTCTACCCAGTAAGACCGAAATTATATAATGATTTGAAACTCTTCAAGGTGGATGGGACATCATAGGAGCACTGTAGACTACTCCAGAACATACGGGAGAGTGAGACTGTAAGCAGACTGAAGAAGGTACTCCTTATGGAGTCAGTAGGCAAGAAAAATCAGTGGAAAAGATTAGCATCAAAGGAGATATGGGAGCATTAAAGACAGCAATGCAGGAGAGTTTGTAGGAACAGAGCATGACCCTCTAATCCCATGCTGCAAAGAGATCATCTTTAAATAGAACTAAATTTGATAACTAGAAACCCATAGAGGTTCCTTGTAATTGATGATGGTTGAGCCAAGTAATAATGTAAAACACAAAACATGGGAAAAAGAAGCCTGTAACAAGGGTCCAAGCTCTCGAGGCATTATTAACATAAATAGTCCCTTTTTCTGTCACTTGCTAAACAATATAGTGCATTTACTTACATTGAAATAAATGTCTTTACTTCTTTATTTCGTCTTCTTTTTGTTGTTGTTGGTGGTGGTTTTTCAAGACAGGGTTTCTCTGTGTTAACAGCCTTAGCCATTCTGGAACTGGCTCTTGTAGATCAGGCTGTCCTCGAACTCACAGAGATCTGCCTGCCTCTGCCTCCCGAGAATAGAGATTAAAGGTGTTTGCTACCACTACACAGCTTAAAGTATTTACTTATGATTGAAACCATTTCCTTATTGAGATAAAATTATTAAGCATTTCTTACGAAGGGTTATCAGTTTTAATATTTATGCTTTAAAGTTATATTTTACTGGTGATCCTGTGTAACACTGTCTTAATTAACTTTTCTGGTAGGCGTTTTCATTGCTCCTCATGACTGCCAGTCAGTTTTTAGCAGCTATCAATCACCCTGTGTCTAGGTACAATGATGTACTCTTTCTAATCTGCTATTCATTTTAGCCTACAGCAAAACTCAACATTGACAGAGTGATCTATTTTGAGAATAGACTTTCAATATAGGTGTTCAAAAACACATCAGTATGCTATAATCATGAGGCTAACCATTTTTATTTATTAAATAAAAATGGCAAAATGTGTGATCAATTTTGGTATCTCTTTGCTTTTTTGCTAACCCATTCTATTTGCATTCATCTTTGACTTGAATCCTTTATTTTCCAAGACTGCTAAGTAATAGTGGTAATAAAATAAATGAATAAAGGACCATCTCTGGTGTGAGAGAATTATCTGTATTCTGTCAATCATATTTTAAATAAATGCTGATTGGCCAGGCAGGAAGTATAGGCAGGAAAACCAGAGAGGAAGTAGAGGTGGAGAAAAGAGAACAGGAGTATTCTGGGAAGCAGGAAGCTCCCTCTGCAGTTCTGCCCAGACCATGGGAGAGGCAAGATGTAAGCTGCCCTGCTGAGAAAGGTACTGAGCCATGTGGCTAACATAGATAAAAATAATGGGCTAACATAAGTTATAAGAGCTAATAAACAGCCTGAGCTAATGGACCAATCAGTTTATAATCTTATGGAGTTCTCTGTGTGATTTTCTTTGGGGCTTGCCAGCTGTGGGGTACCGGGCGGGACAGATACCCCAACAAGCAGGTCCCCTCATGTTACACATCTCACCTTGGAAAAGACACTACCTCACAAAGAAGCTCAGAAGAGTGATAAGATTGCTGCCCTGTCAGGAAGAGGCATGAAACTACAGCAGAATGGGCAACACCAAGATACTTACCATTCTACATAGCACTGGAGTTTTGTTTTGTTTTGTTTTGTTTTTCATCTGCTATTTATATCCCCTTGTCCTCTCCAGCGTTCTCCTCAACTCCTTATGCTTTGGGTAAATTCCGTCTGTTGGTTGTTTTGTTTAAATGTTTCGAAATAATCTGTTATTTATTTTCTTCTACAAGTCCCTTTGAGTTTAATTCCTCTACACCTAGAAAGTAGAAAGCAAGTATTAAAATTTTAGAAAAGTAAATAAAGATGAGCATTTTTGCTTTTGCTTGCCTACTATGTGTGGAGGGTGAACCTTAGACCTTGCCTAAGCAAAGAAAATGTTACAGAACTAAGCCCTTCTCACTGTTTTAAGATGCAAATTCCATTACTATTTGGCTATGCTGATACTAACAGATCAGTAGACAATTGCTACTGAAAAGAAGACACCACGCCATGTACGGCTTCCCAGGGAGGTGCCATTGTGGCATCGTGGTATAGGACAAGAGGGGAAGATTGGCAAGAGCCCTTTATTATGTTTCTTGCTTAATAAATGAGCAAAGCAAAGTAAACAAACTCAAGATTAGTTGATTTGTACAACTCCTTCAATGCTGGGATTTGAAGGTTGTCCCTGGTTTCCTGGTTCCTGTCCCGGGATGAAAAGTCAAATTTTAGTGGAGCCCTGCAGGTACGTATGAAGGCCTTTGTTTAATTGTGTCGCTCACGTTCAGCTGAGTTTTCTACTCTCTCTGGTAATGAACTAACCTAAGGAAAGCAAGATTGCAATGATTAGTGTTAATTGTGAGTTTGATAGAATCTACAGTTTGGGAGATCTGCTTTTTGCCAGGTCTGTGAGGATTATCTCGATTATGTTAATTGCTGAAGGAAGATTATCCTTAACTTAAAGGAAGATCCTTCTCCAGGCTAGTGATTGTAGACCATAGAAAAGGGAGAAGGAAGCTATGCCCTAGCATGCATGTGTTTCTTGCTCTTTGCTCTGACTATACAATCTGGCCAGCTGCTATGTGTTCCTGTTGCCTTGCTGCCACCATGATGGACTGAACCTTGAACTGAGTCAGTTTAAACTCATTACTCCTTAAATTGCTTTGGTCAGGGCAATGTCTCACAACAACAGGAAAAGAAAACGAGAAAATGGCATTAACCATAAATACAACACAATTGCTTTTACAAACCAAAGTACATGATACAAAATTATCAGCATGAGGAAGGGAAGATCCTTCCACGGCCTTAATCACACATGAGTTGACAAAAATATAAGATCAGTAACAGAATGCCTAGTGGCTTCTGAAAAATATACTACACCTGACCAACTGAATATACATCGACCAACTGAATATAAGTTTGTTACCCATAAGGATGGAGTTGAAAAAGCGCACGCTGACCTCAATGACAGAATCTACTCCTGAGCAACAAATAGCTCCTTGCAGAATCATATGGGCTATAAAAGTGGGAAGAAATCCAAACATTCATTTCATTTTACTAAAGCTTTAAATCCTTTCTCATTTCTAGGTCAGAGCTATATGTGGCAAGCATGGATTGTATCTAACCTTGACCCTGCTGGAAACATTGCTTAACCACCAAGATTTGGGTTACCAAGGTGAAATAAAGTAAGTTGAATTTTGAAGATTGTGCCCCACCAAAATGAAAATATGGTAAAGTCCTAACTCTCAATATGATGATTCTGGTTACTGGGGTCTTGGAAGCTCACTCAATTTAGATGAAGTTGCAGCACCCTAGGAGAAATAGTAACTTTCCAAGAAAAGGCCAGGAAAGCTTCCTTCTCTCTCTACCATAGAAAGAGACACCTAAAAGCCTGAACTAAAACTTTTTTGTCATCTCAGACCCATTAGAAAAAGACGGTGTCTGATGTTAGACACTTTGGCATCTGTGCCCTGCTATCTGTGGAACTATGGAAACTCCTTAACCCTACTGCATTCTATTGCCAAGCACAGACATCTGCCTTTAGAGAACAAGTTCCATGAGACAACCAACCAATTTCAATCACTTGCCAGCTAGGCTAAAGAATGTTTTAGTAATACCAAAGGAGGCTGGCAAAATGGCTCAGTTGGTAAAGGCCTTTATTGCCAAGCTTGATGACAGAATTCCACACTGCAGAATGAGAGAACCTGCTCGCAAGGTCCCATCGGACCTCCACACATGTGCATGCACATATATACTGAAGAAATAGATGTAATTTTTAAAAATATTTAAGACAAAGAGTTCTCAGTAGTCATAGAAGCACAAATGTGGAGACCTCTCCTTTCAGCCCTTAGGAACCACTATGGTCTCTGCTTGCCATTCCTCCTGAAACAGCTAAATAGTAGGACCAGACAGATGAAACAGTGTTTCAGAGGTTGAGGATCGAGCATTGTCATCAAACTATGATGAAGGCAGGAAAGCAATGAGACTGGCTTGGCTTGCTGCTGAGGAAAGAAAAAAAAAAAATAACGGGCTAGAACCTTCAAAGAGTTGGAATGAGATAGAGTTGAAAGTTAGGAAGAGTTAGGAGGATATAGCATACCTTACCAGGTATGTAAGTACAGGACATACATCCCCACAGACATTTCCTGGAGATTTTAATGAGTTGTCTCCAAGGATTTTTATAGGTACTATCTTATGAATGAAATTAGGAAACTGCTCATAACACTGGAAAAGAAAATATAGAAAAAGTCTTAGGGCACACGTAATCTGGGTGGGCTACACTAATTGCTTTATGCAGAATTCTAATCCTCTATTCTCTCCCCCTTTATCTGCTTTGCTTTCGTTTGCTCTACAGACCTGCCAACTTCTTGTTTAAATGTTTCATATAAATATATATATTCTATACTAAGCATAAAAATCCCTTAACTTCCAATAAATGAAATAACATTGATTTAGCATGCTATATTCATTGCCATATTGTGATAAATAGTAAACTACAGTACCATAAGGCAAGTAGATACTTTATTTAGGTTTGTATACTAAATGTCTAAAGCAGTAGATATTATGATGATAAATGTTTACATGCTTGAATCAAATTAGGAGAGAAGTTATCTCAAAATAGCTCATGGTCAAACGGAAGAGTGCCTTTCCCCCCATTGCAGCGAAATCAGGTACACAGTATTAAGTGCTCTAATATCACCTAGTCATGTTATTCCCTAGTCATGTTCTCTTTAGAACCCCGATTTTAGTTGTGTGTTTTCTTAATTTATGTCTATACAGTGATCACCCTACAGGAAGAAACATAGCTGCTTTCTTCACATTCAATGGTCATAACATCTAACCTACAGTGTAGTACACTGTAGTTGCTACAGTGTAGCAACTACAGTGTGTATTTGCTGAGCTTGACAATTCCTTTATTTAACAAACATTTGCCAAGAACCAGCAATATACCATTATTCTAGACACTGGGAGTAGATCTATGCAGAAAACAAAGCCTGTTCCTCATGAAGTTATATTCTACTTGGAATGAGAAATAATTTAAAACATATGGCATAGCCAGATAGTGGTGGTGCACACCTTTAATTCCAGCACTTGGAAGCAGAGGCAGGCAGATCTCTGCGACTTTGAGGCTAGCCTGATCTACAGAATGAGTTCCAGGATAGCTAGGACTTCACAGAGAAACCCTGACTCAAAATAAAATAAAAGAAAATATATGGCATAACCCAAGGTCATAGGGGCAATAAGAAAAAATAAAGCAGGTTAAGGTTTCTCAAAGAGCATTAATAAGTAAATGACTTCTAGTCCAACCCAGTGGATGAATTCCTATGGGCCAGTTTTGGATTTGAGCATTTCCTTAGAGATGGCTAAGCTGCACAAAGCAGATAAATGAGTTAGGAGAAGACTAGAAATCTAAAGCAAGTTTTCTAAAGAAAAAAAATCAAGCACCAAAGTTTGCATTATACATAGGATAGAGTAAAGACTCCATTGCTATTGTTGATTAACAACTAATTCAGAACCAGTACTGCAGGGATCTGGAGTATAAGAGCAGACAGTTGCTTTCTTTGACCTTAAAATATCCTAGGATTTCAAAACCATGAGAATCAAAGAGAAAATATGTTTACAAGAGATAAACGTATTTCATCTTTAAACAGTCATTGGCTAAAGCTTCTTCTGTGAATTAAACCCATTCCATTATGTGCTTTGTATGCAAACCTATATCCTTAAGAGATTAAAGATGCAATTTAGACACACATTTTAGGAGCTGAATACTCGAATCATTATCTTAGTACATATTGTCCATTAATCTGCGTTCAATTGGAAAGCCATTTGGAATGTGGCTGTCTGCTAATTAGCAGGATTCTAGTACTGAGCTGCTTCCTGATTAAATGTCCTTTAGAATCAATAAAACATCAGGAGGGATTGTGGTGATGTGGGATTAGCCCCATCTAGCCAAATAAAATGAGCTGTGTTCCCGTTTTAAACTAGCATGTTGTAAGCTAACAAGAGGGACAATTTTGCCAGTCCTGAATCAAATGTGTGTTCTGTTGATGTTGTTGTTTCTTAGATAATTTTTTTAAAATCTGAGATTTCATTTTTATCTCCCCATTTTCCTAACAATTAGCAGAGACATTAGTGAATGACTGCCAGGATAAGGCGATTGTGAGGAAGACTTGATTACGATTTTTAATCTCCACTCTGAATCACCCTTATGTAAAATGAGCTCAGGTTGTGTTGGATGGAAATTATTATCCCTATTCTTGGCCGGGAAGATGGAAGTCAGAATTCACATTTAATGTTTCTATGTGACTTTGTAATAAATGGTAATTAAGGAGGGCAGAGCAAGAACAGGAGGCAATCTAATACTCGAAAATTATATTGGCAAAATTAAATGCTTCAAACCAGTTTAGAACACACGTGCGCAAGCCAAATTGTGTTGGGGGAGGAGATAAATAATGAAGCTGCTATGGAAGCTTCCTGAATGGCGTCGACCAATTGACACAGCCACAAGGAGGACATACGTAGCATACACATCTGGCCCATTATAGCAAATAGAGTTAGGTTGGAAAGAACTTTTTGCAAATCCTGGGAATGAGCAGATAGTTTTAGGAGATAAAGGAAGCATGAGGTATCTCATTCAACAGTCACTGTTTAAAGGGAATAGGAAAAGTGTTTCACAAAGGACTATTGGAGATGTGCTGTGTTCACCCATGGGCTCAGAGGTAGACAACAAACCCAGCTTGCTAGTCTGATTTCTCATAATGATGGCAGTGCCGATAAAGTTGTCACTGCTTATCGAGAACATGTGTAGAACTTAAACAATTCCAAGCAATATTTCAGGTGTTCTGTTAAATATTAACCTTTTTGATTCCTGCAACAGCTCCATAAGGTAGGTACTATTTTAGTTTTCAAATGAGGAAATGGAAAACCTCCATGTCCCTGATAAATGAATTTATCAGGAAGGCTGAGTTGTTTGCAGGTTTGCCAGCTCCAGTCTTTGGCCATAACCACATAATGCAGTGACTTTCCTGCAAGGCCTACAGTTCTGAGAAGTTTGTGTGTGACTGGGCAATAGGCTGTGGATAAACTGTGTGCTGGAGTTCATCCTTCGGTTTGGTACTGGACCCAGTTTGGAACTGGAGGAGTCTGTCTGGAAGAACTTCCCTCCGCTGGCACCTAAACCTTGGATTTCCATCCTAGGATCTGTGGTTTTTGTCATGGCAGCTGTTTATAGTTTATACATGCTTCTATAGCACATCTGCATGAGCCACAGGTACCATTTTCTCGCAGTCCTGGAGGCTGGAAATTCAGTTTTCTCACTGTTACCTCGCACGATAGAAAGGATGAAGGGGCTGTTACTAGAAAATCAGTCCAATTCCTGATGATTTTGCCTCAGGAGTTAAACCTTCCAAAGACTCTCCCTACGAATATATCATGTGTGAAGATTTCAATCGAGGGATACATAAATACAAATATATGAGATAACCCTAGGAAACATTGCATCTTGCTTGTCAGATGTCTCTTCTGACAGGCACATTTTGTGCCCCTCAGTAAGAGTTAAGATTCCAGGAAGACTGAACTTCTCTTATTCAGGAGCGCCGTTTCTACCTGGCAGTCTGGACAGAGCTGCCTCCTCTGTGCCCTCCTGGCTGAGCATAATTGGATCTGCAGTAACTAGCTTAGTGAGCAATGACAAACAGAAGCAACCCAGCCGTACAGGAAGTACAATCCTTGCAAATCTAGTTCCCCACACCCTGGTGCTAAGACCAAAGTGAACAGATTGAAGAGTGAAGAAAGACGGCTGGCTCGGGTGGATACCCAGAGTTCTTTTTGATTATATGAAGTTTCCAGGGGAACTCTTCCCAGAGTTAGTTCTATTGAGATTACAAGGGTGCACTGTAAAATAGCCCTATTTTAATTTTTTGGTGTTGTGGCTTAATGTCTTTTTAAATATCAAAGGTTATTATTATATAAAAAGGCATCTGTTTTATAGTCTCTAAATAAATGGACAAAAAGTAAGACAAACCCACTGATATTACTAAAATGTATGGGCACTCCTTTGATGTATCAGAATCCAGAGTGAATTGTCAGCAGTCATAATCTAGTGGGATGTGAGGGAATCCACAAGCTACCTGACCTGGGCTTTCTAAGAACTGTGCCAGGCAGAAGATGCACTGCTGTCTCCTGC